GGGGTCGCAGGGGTCAGGGGCCCAGTGGATGCAACTTCACAGTGCCCGGGGCCGGGGGCAGTTATAGATGGTGGTCACGAGTTCTTAATTAATGCGAAAAGGCTACAATTTGGGCACATTACCGATAACTACACACATCATGTCGGGGCTTGCTCATTAAAAGTCACGATGCATGCATTCAGTGCCCCATTGCTTCTGCTATCTCATTTCGCACCTCATAGCGATCAATAAAATCATTTCGCTCGCCGTTTTTGAGGCCCATGGCTATTTGCCTGTATTTCGACGAATCCCCATTCCTGATTGAAAAGAACGGAGCAACGTTTTTCAGCGTTTGGCGCGTTTTGCTTCCCTCCCCTCTTTCGACCATGTGATCTCCGGCCTCGACAACATTTCAAAAATGAAAATTTTCAAAACGAGTTTCGCATATTTTTTTTGTTTGTGCATTCTAAAATGAACGTTAAATATGTTAATGGAATTTTATATGTTCTTTATTTGTTCTAGAATATTTGCATTTTGTGAATCCCAGCTCACGTAGGGATTACCGCTTTCAGTAGTTGGCAATGCACATACCACGAGAATTGTGTTTTGTGGAAGTGGAAGGCTGTGTTCAGAGCGCGCGAAGGCGCGAAAAAGCCGCGAAAGGAACAGGGCATTTGCAAGACGCTTGAAGAAGGGCGGCCCTCTAAGGCGCGAGGCGTAGTTTTAACGAGTGTGGCAAAACATTATATTTGCTGATGTAGGGTATGAAATAATATTTCATCTTTCTTGTGATATCTGGACAAGATCTTATGGCCACGATTAAGGTTGGCGTTGAAAAGAAAACGCATCATGTAACCCATAAAATGACAACGAACTTGAAATTTATAAATGCCTTAGACCTCACAGTCGCCTTGGCTCGTCCATTCCCTTTCTTAAAACACGATGACCAACTCATGTCTTACCTCCTCCACCTTCCTCCACCTCTCACATCCACTCACCTCCCTCCCCCCACCTTTCTAATCCCCTCCTCTCTCTCCCCCCCCCCCCCCCCCCCCCCCCCCCCCCCGCCGGTGCGGGTCCCCCCCCCCCCCCCCCCCCCCCCCCCCCTTCTCCATCGCATCGCGGCCGGTTGAGCTTGGAACCCGCGCCACCCGCGCCAAACGCCATTTTCGACGTTGTTTGGTTCGGAGTCGTTGTGTGCTACCGGCGTATTGCCCAATTTTTCAGTATTCGAAGTTGTTATAGTTGCCAAAGATGTCTAAATCGGATGAAGCAATGGACACAGGAGATACAGGAGAAAATTCGGTAAGTTGAAATATGTATTCCAGTTGTAGTCTTCAAAGCATTCCTCTTTGTTTGACTGTCGCTTGATGTTTTACATTCAATAACCTGAAATATTTACGGGTAGCGTATCTTTGTACCAATTTACTTGAATTCGCACTTTCATTTTCGTGAAAGTCACATTAACATCACGCTTGTAAGCATTGGCTAGACGTATTGGGGTTTGGTGTTGAATACGACAATCCTAACCTCATCGGCTCATCTGCTCATTTGCTGTCAGATTTAGAAAATTGGTTCTGTTTTCGTATTCAAAGCGAAGACAAACTTGCTGTTATTTAATTTTCGTCATTGATGAGTTGTGTTGTCAACATTTTCTGACGTTCTTGGGGTAGTTATGTTGTTTATTCATCAATATAAGTTGCTATATTTCAGATCATATCCTACTTTTCAAATAATTGTTTTTTTTCTTTTTCAGAATGTGGTTATGGCCTTTGCTAATCAGCTTCTTTCGTTACAGAATGCCTCCTCCGCTGAAGAAGCAGCCCCTAAAAAGGGGAAGGGTGAAGAGTATGAGAGCAAAGTTGTACGTTCTTTTGGATTGTCAATGCAGACTTTATGAGTTTGGTGTTTTATATATTTTTCTTATTTTGCTTACTGTTCATTATTTTATTTTAGGAAACTGATCGCAGCAAGCGTTTTGATTTCCTTCTCAAGCAAACAGAAATTTTTTCCCACTTTATGTCAAATTCTTCCAAAGAAAAGGCACCAGGCAGTCCTGTTAAGCTAAAACCTGGGCGACCCAAGAAAATTGTGGACAAACCCGATAAACCTAAAGAAAAAGAGGAAGACCCTGCTGAGTAAGTATTATCAGATACCAGAGGTTTGTCTTTAGTTTTGATGTCAATGGTAACTGACTTACACACTATTATTTTTAGCCACCGGCACCGTAAAACAGAACAGGAGGAAGATGAAGAGCTTCTTGCAGAATCCAATGCCAATGCCAAAATAGTTACTAGATTTGATGCCTCTCCATTTTACATTAAGTCTGGTGAACTTCGTGATTATCAAGTCCGTGGTCTGAATTGGATGATCTCCCTGTATGAAAATGGTATCAATGGTATTTTGGCCGATGAAATGGGTCTGGGTAAAACTTTGCAGACTATTTCACTTTTAGGGTAAGTGTCAATTGTATCATTTTATGGCACCCCAGTGGGTTTCATTTTCAGTAATGTGCGAGGTAATGTTGACTCATTTTATACCTTGCATTTCATTCCCTATTCCAGGTACATGAAACACTTCCGTAATATTCATGGACCCCATTTGGTCATTGTTCCCAAATCAACTCTTCAAAACTGGATGAATGAGTTTAACAAATGGTGTCCAACTTTAAGAGCAGTTTGCTTGATCGGTGACCAGGATCAGAGGGTAAGAAAAGAATCTCCATTTTTCTACCAGTATTTCAACTTTAAAGTTCATTAGTCTTAACACCCTTTTTTTTTTTGTTCTACAAATAGAACACATTTATCCGCGAGACACTTATGCCTGGAGAATGGGATGTTTGCATTACCTCTTATGAAATGGTAATCAGAGAGAAAGGTGTGTTCAAGAAATTCAATTGGAGGTATATGGTGATTGATGAAGCCCACAGAATCAAGAATGAAAAGTCAAAGCTCTCTGAAATTGTACGAGAGTTCAAAACAACTAACAGATTGCTACTTACCGGAACACCTCTTCAAAATAATCTTCATGAACTTTGGTCTCTCTTGAACTTTTTGTTGCCTGATGTATTTAATTCATCTGAAGATTTTGACTCTTGGTTTAATACCAATAGTTTCTTGGGAGACAATTCTCTTGTTGAACGTTTGCATGCTGTTCTTCGCCCCTTCCTACTCCGTCGTTTGAAATCAGATGTGGAGAAAAGACTCAAACCAAAGAAGGAAGTTAAAATTTATGTTGGTTTGAGTAAAATGCAAAGAGAGTGGTACACCAAAGTGCTAATGAAAGACATTGATGTTGTTAATGGTGCCGGAAAAATTGAAAAAATGCGTTTGCAAAACATTTTGATGCAGTTGAGGAAATGCTCCAATCACCCATATCTTTTTGATGGTGCTGAACCAGGTCCTCCTTATACAACTGATGAGCATTTGGTTTATAATTGTGGCAAAATGGTGATCTTGGATAAGCTGCTCCCAAAACTTCAAGAGCAAGGATCTCGTGTTCTTATTTTCTCTCAAATGACCCGTATGTTAGATATTTTAGAAGATTACTGCCATTGGAGATGTTACAATTACTGCCGTTTGGATGGTAACACTCCACATGAAGACAGACAAAGGCAAATCAACGAGTACAATGAGCCCAACAGCAAGAAATTTGTCTTCATGTTGTCTACACGTGCAGGTGGTCTTGGTATCAATTTGGCTACTGCTGATGTTGTTGTCATTTATGATTCTGATTGGAATCCTCAGATGGATTTACAAGCTATGGACAGAGCTCATCGTATTGGTCAGAAAAAGCAAGTTCGTGTTTTCAGAATGATTACTGAGAATACTGTGGAAGAAAAGATTGTTGAAAGAGCTGAGGTCAAACTACGTCTTGACAAGCTTGTCATACAGCAGGGTCGGCTTGTTGATAACAAAGCCGGTGCACTGAACAAAGATGAAATGCTGAATATGATTCGGCATGGTGCCAATGAAGTATTTGCATCAAAGGAATCTGCCATCACAGACGAAGATATTGACACCATTCTGGAAAAAGGAGAAAACAAAACTCAAGAGCTAAACAAAAAACTGTCTGAAATGGGTGAATCATCTCTTCGTAACTTCACAGTTGATACACCCACTGACTCAGTATACAAATTTGAAGGAGAAGATTACAGGGACAAGCAGAAAATTCTTGGCGTTGGCAATTGGATTGAACCTCCTAAGAGAGAAAGGAAAGCAAACTATGCAGTGGATGCCTACTTCAGAGAAGCTCTCCGGGTATCTGAGCCAAAAGCACCTAAGGCACCAAGACCACCCAAACAACCAATTGTTCAAGATTTCCAATTTTTCCCTCCTAGATTGTTTGAACTGCTTGATCAAGAAATTTATTATTTCCGTCAAACTCTAGGTTATAAGGTTCCCAAAAATCCTGAGCTTGGTCCAGAAGCAGCTCGTGTGCAGAAAGAGGAACAGAGGAAAATTGATGAGGCTCAACTACTCTCTGAAGAGGAGGTTTGTATTATTTCATACACTGTACAACGACTGTTTGTTTATATCCTATTTTACTACAATTATGTTTCATTTACCACAGCTTAACGAAAAGGAATCATTACTTATGCAAGGCTTTACCAATTGGACTAAGAGAGATTTCAACCAGTTTATTAAAGCTAATGAGAAGTATGGTAGAGATGACATTGAGAACATAGCTCGCGATGTTGAGGGAAAAACTCCTGAAGAAGTAATGGAATATAGCACTGTGTTTTGGGAACGTTGTCATGAACTGCAGGATATTGACAGGATAATGGGACAGATTGAAAGAGGAGAGGCCAAAATTCAGCGCCGAGCTGGAATCAAAAAAGCACTTGATGCTAAGGTAACAAACTTTTCCCATTTCGTTTATTATTATTTTCAGGACCTCCTATGATTGATTTTTACCAATCTATCATTGTTCTTCTTGCAGATGGCTCGGTATCGCGCACCATTCCATCAGTTGCGCATATCATATGGTACAAACAAGGGAAAGAACTATACTGAAGAGGAAGACCGCTTCCTTGTATGCATGCTTCACAAGTTGGGTTTTGATAAGGAGAATGTTTATGAAGAATTAAGAGCAGCAGTTAGGTTAGTGAAGCATACAATATTGTTTGAAACAGACTAATAACATAACCCAAAGCTTTTTAATCTCTTAACTTTTTTTCCCTTTGATTTTTCAGATCTGCTCCTCAGTTCCGTTTTGATTGGTTTATCAAGTCACGTACAGCAATGGAATTGCAAAGGAGATGCAACACACTTATCACACTAATTGAAAGGGAAAACCAAGAGCTTGAAGAAAAAGAAAGGCAAGAGAAGAAAAGAGGCAGACCCAAAGGCAGTACTGCAGGCAGTAGTACCCCTAGCCAGAACAGCACCAGTCAGTCTAGTTCTGCAACACCTGCGCCCGCAACACCAAATGCTAACAGTGGAACTCCAAATGCGGCCAAACAAAATCAGAAACGAAAGGGAGATTCTATGGGGCCTAGTTCTGCTAACTCAACACCAGACCCCAAAATCAAAAAGAGAAAGAAGTGAAAATTTTGAATCATCAACTTAACATTGTGATCATGACAATTGTGTATGCAGCTAATCTTATTTCTCCAGTATGAAAACTTATTAGAATTTTAGCTGTATTGATTGGACAAATGAACTTTTAATTTTAAGTTACTCCAAGTGGAGTATCAACTTGCATGTTAATATCTGTGAATTTGACGAATGACATTGCAATCGTTTGCACTATATTTTAGAAAGCATGTATTGATGTGGCTCTAAGTTACATCTTGCATCTTAACTTTTCTCATTTTATGATTTGTCATCTTTCCTTGTACATATAGTAAATCCTCATCTGGTCTAGTATTTGGTGTGTACTGTATACTTGTTCCAAGGTAATTTTATTTATGTAACATTAAAGTATCCTGTACCATACATCAGTTTTATTTTTCAAAGGCTTTGACCCTGAACATATTATACAATACACATTAATCAATTCTTAATTAATCATTGCATTCAGCTTCAAGGCAAAATTGACATGGCTATTTGGAATCTTCTAGAAGATTTGTAATACCCAAACCAAATGTCAAATGAACTGGTGTGTTTGACTCCGACAAACTTGGTTCGGCAATATTACTGCTCGAATTTGCTATTGGGGATGATGTAGCATTCTCACCAATACAGAATGCATCAAAAGATTCAGAAAAGCGTCGGAGTTTCAAAGAAGTAGCTGCACTAGTGTGTTTCTCATTTTTATTAATTTGCAGTTTCCTCACTCTATCTATAAGCGGTGTGTAGATTGTTTCTCCATCAAAGGGATCCTCTTCGCCGAATTTTGGAAGCAGAGGAGAGTCTGAACTACAAATTGAACTCTGTCCAGGAGAAGATGAATGGTCAGTGCCAATGTGATGTTGGATTGCTGTAGAAGATAATCCCAACTTCTTGGTTTCAGTTAAATCATTACGCTTTCCAGTGATGGTCTGTACAATATCAGAGAGGTCACATTCTTCTTCTTCCTCCTTAACAAAATCAGAAATAGACCAATCTTCATCTCCCAGAAGATTTTCATAGGATAATTTTTCTGATTGCTTCACTGTATTTAATGATGCAGTTAATGAAATAGGGTCTGCAGCATTCTTTGTTTTCTCTACACTATGCACATTCTCAGCTAAGTTACTCTCATCATAGCCCAATAATCTTTTTAACTTCTCAGTATTCTCCATCACTTTGGATTTTGGCTTTGCTTTGGACTGTTCTTTTTCTTCCTTCCCCTTTTTATGCTTTGAATGAGCTTCAGAATTGAGTGTCAATTTATCTAAAAGATCTTCAAGGGTGCTTGGTGGTGCCTGATCTTCTCTCTTGTCTGATGATTTTGTTACAAAGTGACACATACAGCGTTGATTCTTCCCAGGCAATTCTTTTCCACAATCAGTACAAACAGACTTGACAGCAGTGACCCTCTGCTTATTACTCCTGCCTACTTTTGATTTACCTGTAAACAGGAGAGAAGTGCGATTCAAAATATAGGCAAATACAAACAAAATATAGTATACCTACAAATTTATAGTTGAACTACAGTAGTCATTACCTTTCAATTTTGCAGCCTTTTTTGCAGCCTCTTTATCATTGAATTCTTTCACAAGCTCTGGGAATGCTTGATCAACTAAATCTCTTGGCTCAATTGTCATACAGATATTAGAATCCTCCTCATTTACAAGTGTTTCAAATAACCCTTCCCTATCTCCCCATCTCACTTCATAACTAGCAACACCTTTCAGCACTCTCGTTTTTATAATAGCTTCAGGGAAGATTGGACATTTAGCTGTATTCTTATTTTGTAAAATCAGCCAACGAGTAAGCAAGGGTAGAAACTTCTCCAGGGAGTAACATTCATCCCAATTCATGTGCTTCTCAGCTAATTTCTGTAAATTTAAAGTACAAAATTCAAAAAAGAAAATATAGTTATGAATATTTAAGTAGAAAGTTATTCTTCTGGGAACTGACCATAAAGCCAATTAGGTTTGGTTGAGACCAATCAGCTGGAAGCCGTTGTGGAGTTTGGATGGTACTCATAAATTCATCTATCACCTCCTGAGATGGAAAGTTTGTATCCTGAAGAGCCTTTCTTCTTATATTTAACTCATTTGTTAACATCTTTTTACACTCCCTAAAATTGCAGTAACATTTAAGGTAAAAGAAATTACACCAAGCTTCTCATAGTGTTTTTAGGACTCATCTCATACTTACACATTTTTATTTGTGTCTGAGTGTGTTCTCAAGAGACAACTTTTAGTTGTTCCACAAGACTCACATCCATTTTTATTGTGAACTGTTTTTTTACCCAAATGTCCACAACGATCACATATCCCTAACGAGTGCTCCCGTTCCAGCTGTTCATAAACGGGATCATTCTTCCATTTGAAAAACCTAATCAACAAAAAGTTAGATAATGTGTGCAGTCAGTAGGGGATGGTAGGAATGAAAATATGAACACTTTTGGCAGCATTTCATACCTTGAGAACACCTCTGAATCATTCAAAGTGGCGAGGAATTTAACTGCTGTCTCTTTCCCTACTCCTGAAACACCCTGGTTGTAATCACAGCCACACAGAAGAGATAAACCTACAAGTTTAGTGCGACTCAGTCCTAAAAGCTGTTCAATTTGTTCCATTCTGTACATGTCAATGCTAAATCCAGCTGCACCCCCTCCACCTGAGGAAGCACTAATAGTAAAATTTCGGTAAACAGCTCGCCCACCATACAGAAAGCAATCACTGTCTTGGCTAATGCAACCATCTACCAGCTGGAAAAAAAATTACAAAAAAACTGTGAATCAAAAAAATTAGAGGTAAACAAACAACTGAGTGGAAAGGAAACTACAGTACCCCATTAGAATTTAATGCTGCACAAAGTGCCTCAGCCTCCCCTTCACTTTGAATACATTGGACACCCATAGCTTTAAGCATTTCCTGGCACTGCAAAAAAAAAATATGTTTATAATAAATTACAACAATATATTGTTCTGCTGTAGCTGTAACATAAAAGCAAATAATAGCATACCTTCTTCTGTATTCCCTTGTATCTTGTTCGCTTCCCAGTACTTTTGGAAGATTTAGAAAATCCTCGAGCAGCATTTCTTTGCGACATAACATTCAATTTCAGGTCTGGGGCATCCCCTTCCAAGACGAAGACTGGACGGGCCCCAAGAAGGAGCAGGCATGACGTACGAAAAAACAAGTTTCTGTTCATAAAACCTTGGCTTAGCTCTTGACAAAAGTACACTGAGCTTCACAACTAATTGTGATGCGACTCCTACCTGAGATGCATATTTGGCTGTGCGCTATGCTCCACTATATTTTGACTGTCGACAACCCAACCACTTAAGTCAATTGCCACGGTCTTGTCTTGTAGTTCCCAAAGCGATTTTCGTTCACATACTGGAGCGAGGACCTGCCAAAGGTCCTTAACTCCCATTGTGGCTCAAGAATAGAGGATGACTTAAGTAGATGTGAGTATAAGTTGGTGTTGGTTTGAAAATAGAATACTTATGAAGCTGTCAACTGAACGTTTTTATTTCTTTTACAAAAGAAATATCACTGTAAACAATAACAAAGCTGTCAGCCCAGAATGTACATGCAATTTATGTTTCAAAAAGTTTAAACACCGGCTCCTGGGAATAGTGCAGGTGCTGGAAATAATCATGTTTGCAGCTGTGGCCCGGAAGTAGACGGGGTGCATGAATCTGATTGGTTCTTCCTTTGATCCGACATGTTTTCTTTTCCTTCGTCAAATGTATGAGAAAAGTCGTTCACTTTGATCACGAGTTCGAATCAAAACACGGAAAGTGATTTTCGAAATCGGTAGATTGAGATTTTGTGGTGCAGCATGAAATCAGGACACTTGTTTTCGGGGTAGTCCTGGAAACAACTGCTCGATCGAACAGACACGTGGTTAGACCCAGCTCTGCGCGTTTTCCAACGTGTTAAACGTACACGTACGTGCGTTAGACCGGCACTTAAACATTTCGCTCTCAATGAAAAGAAAACAAACGTAGCGCTGATGTTGGGGAAGATCAAAATGCCCAGCCCCTAAAAAAAAATTCCAGGGGCGTGAAGGGCAACCCGCAGAGCGAGGGGTGGGGGTGGGGTGGGTCCTTTGTGGATTCGGTTTGGCGCGCGCTGCTGTGAGTGGTGGAAGCAGAAGACAAGGGACAGGACAGACGCCGCGCCGAAGCTGAAGAGCACGCCTGGAACTCCAGGAGGAACGAACACTGCTGGTGTTGTCGCAGATGGAATCAAGGCGAAGAATACAATGCAAATTGTAAATCTAGGTGTTGCAAGTTGTATTACTTGAGGGTTTCGCTCAGGTGTGTATGAATGCAGCTTTCTATGATCAAATCAATTTGTCATCCTTAACAAATTTGAAATGAAATACTTAGGCACACCTTATAGCCGGGCCTAAAACAGTTGGGAGTGGGTGGGTTATAAGTGATGCAATGAGCAAGAGACCGGCTGCTGGAAGTAGGATACCCTCAGTTGCATTTCACTGAACCTAGAAAGAAGTTGAATTGATATGTAAAGTTTATTTAAACTTGCCTCCCTTCCCTGTTTTTTGTTTTTTTGTAGCGTTTTAAGTTTCAGATGTTAAACATATAATGAAAACAATCTATTAAGGTGAACTTCCATGTCAGGGTTTTAAGGTCACAACAGTGTAAGCAGATTTTTCTTAAAAATGAAGTCAAATGGAAGAGTTTAAATTTGTACTTTTTTTACGTTGATTATTGTAGCGCCAATCTGCTATTTGCATTGCTCCCTCCCTTAATTATGCCATATGCTGGCCAGTGTGCTTCTAACGCAATTTTTTCTAGGCAGTTTAAACTGTACTTTTTAAGTAGCTGGGCTCATTAGTTAGTTTAAGCGTTGAACGATTATCATCTCTTGCCCAAGTGCATGTGGATAGCAGGTCTAATCTAGCATGTTGGTGGGGATCTAATAGGAAGTAAGAAAGAAGAACAAAAGTAACTTCAGGCCTGCAATAGAGAGCCTGCAATAATCTCTGCTAGATCTCTGTTCACTCTTAGGGTGATTGTTATTAATGCTAACACCAGCTCTTAATATCTATTGATTTGTTTGTCATTATAGACTTATAACACTAGTAAAAGTCTTGATCTTTATACTTTAAAAGGTACTATTGGTTTTCTCTTATCCCTCAACTTTATATGCTTACAATAACCTTGTTGCAAGGTGGAAGGGGATGTAACCCCCCTCCCCTCCCCCCAAACCCCAATGGTAAAATCTTAATGACTTTCGCGTATAATTTCTTTATTGTTATTTTCTGAAAAATTCTTTGCAGATCTCTTAAGTTAACTTCGTGACAAAATGGAAGCCATAGAGCAAGAGGTATTTACTGAAGAAAGAGTAATTGAGGAACCTCTAACACTTCAGGATCCTGACATTCCATTGATAAAACCGGAGGATCAATGTGAGCCAGCAAACACTGATGGGACTGTTACTTGTAAGGATGCTGAAAATCCATCCTCAGCACCAATCCTGCTATCTGCAGTTATTGCACCTGAAGTGGATCCTGAAAATGTCTTGCGGAGCCCTCCTAAACTTGTGCCTGCTGTTGTAGCTCCAAAGAGGTAATAAAATATTTTTGGGCTAGTAATGCCCTGTAAATGAAGTAAATTTTGGGGTATTTCTTAAACTAATTGACTCATTTTCTATAAATATTTATAATTTTTGATGTTTTGATTGCAGGAAAAGTGATGAGTCTATTCATAAGTTGATAAAACCACTCACTGGCAGTATGAAAAATACACCTGCTAGTTTGTCAATCATTGATGCTCCTTCATCAACCTTAAACAAATCTACAAGGTCTACAAGGTCATCTATTGACCCAACTTTTGCTGCGAAACAAAGAAGTTTTCTGAACAAAGTACATAATGCCCTCTCATCTCAACCCTTGGACGACACAAGTTGTGAAAGTGACCAAGAGATTGTCGCAGATGATGATGTTCAAAACGATACATCACCTTTGTATATTCCTGGGCTTGAGGGTATTCAGCCAAGACGATTGAGTGGACTTCAGAATAGTGGAAGCAAAAGACGACGAGAGGATAGTCCTGCCCAAAAAGTGAAGATCCCATTAGCTTTGAATAATGACCATTCTCATATTAGCCCGGCTAGTGTTAAAGATACCATTGAACCCTTATTGAAGAAAAAGGCATTAGTCCTGGATGGCAAAGATGTAAGTCTGCTTGTACACCATTTAGTTAATTAATCTCTCTACCCACATCAAAATATTAGACTAGTATGATGACAATTCCTTTTCTAGAGTTTGAGTGACATATTTTGCTGGCTGTGCCATCGAGAAGATCCTGATTTAAGCTGTGCAACTTGTCCTCGAGCATTTCATGGCCATTGTCTTCGCCGCCCAGTGTCAAACAATTGTGATTCAGAGTGGATGTGCCCTGAATGTGTAACAATATTGAGAGCTGAAAATCAGGAAACAAGGTTAGTATAATTTACTCAATAAATCTGATATTTTTACTCAGTAGTTAAATATTTCTCCTCTTTTTATAAATATTACAGGTCAAAAGCACTTAAAATGCTGACTCTTGACCAGCTGTGCAATTTACTTTTGTTTGCCGTGGAGAGGATGAAATATTGTAGTGGTGTAAGTTTTTGAAATGACTACTTACTACTTTGTTTTGTTTTTTTAATGTAAATTTTTGTAATACTCCCACTTTTTAGAACTCTCATAACAAACTTCCTTTCTTTCCCTTTTTATTTTTTTAAATTAAGGCAAATGTATTTGAGAGCCCAGTGGATCCTGAAGAGTTTCCTACCTACCATGATTACATAGTCAATCCTATGTATTTGGCTCTTTTGGAGAAAAACATAAAAAGAAAAATGTATGGTTCCACTGAAGCTTTTGTTGCTGACGCTTCATGGATTGTTCATAATTGTATTGTTTTTAACTCTGGTAAGTGAGTCATTTTGAATCCAGTATTTTGATCTGTCTACCACTTTTTTGTTCTCATGGTTTTATCTCTATTCCAGTCAATTCAAAATTAACGTCTATAGCAAAAAATATTTTGAGAGTATGTAAGCAAGAAATGTCAGAAATTGAAAACTGCCCTGATTGTTATAATTATGCTTATACTGCCGATGAGAATTGGTTTATTCAAGTCTGTGTATGTGTCTGAAACTCTTCTATGAATACTTACACTATATCTACTCTACAGTATTGTTAATGGACTCCATCTATTTCTTTATCTCTCTCAGCAAAAACCACATGTTCTTGTCTGGGCAAAATTAAAGGGATTTCCATATTGGCCAGCTAAAGCAATGCGATGCAATTCTGATGCCATAGATGTCAGGTTTTTTGGTGCACATGATAGGTAAGGCTAAAATTTCTGATTTCAAAAAGAATAAAACAATGTCCACTAAACCTTAAGTCATAATGAAATAAAACTGTTGGTGATTCTAGAGCATGGGTTCCAGCAAAAGATTGTTATCTGTATAGTCAAGAAAATCCAAATCCTAATGCACCCAGTAAAATTCAACCTACTCAAGCATCCTTAAAGAAGAAGAACCCCAAAAATAATCTAGATGTCTGCATTGAGGTGGGTTTGATCTTTTACATTTGTGTACATCTTCAAATTATGTTCTTGTAAGTATTTACTCTTTCTGATAAGGTTTTAAAATACTATTTTATATTTCAGGAACTAGAGTTGCATATCCAGCTATTGAAAGAAAGATTTTCTACCTTTCAATATAGTCCTCTGAAATCACCTGTACTTCCCAGGAATCTTGAAAGTCATTTAAAATTTATGTTACCTGAGGTAAGTACCAGAACTATTTGACTATAACATTCTTGAATAGTTTTAGTTTTCCATCTACTGTATTTAAATCTTAAAGGGGACTTAGGCAAGTGTAAATTCCCAATCTTGGCCAAACTCGGTGTATTTGTTTCTTATCTATGTTGATGATGAATGCCAGTAGAATTTTTTCCTGAGTGTCAATTTCTAGGGTACTTTAGGGGAGCAAATAATGGAAAAAGCATTGAATTTGGACCAAAAATGACGGAAGGTGGTCCCAAATCGAAAAGTGGTAGAGGAACTATCCCCCCAAAACCGCTCAGTTTGTCAGACTATCACTTAATATTTGGACCAAAGTAGAAATTTGTATTTTTTGAAATTATACGCTTTTATAGGGAGTTTTGGCATGTGACACTCAGGAAAGAATTTGGTCGGCATTCGTCACCTACATAGATAAGAAGAAAATATACCAAGTTTGGGCACAATCAGGAATTTACACTTGCCTAAGTTGCCTTGTTAGTGCTTTCAAACGTTTCTTATTAATATGACTGTATGACTGAATAAGACTTATAAATTTTCCAGTATAAGCCAAATGAATCAAAATCAGCTGCACCTTCAAAACTATCCCCACTGAAACGCCATAATTTTGAGGTCTTGAAGACTTCAGTATCTTCTGAACCCCTCATAAAACGGATGAAGGCCGATAGTTCTTCTCCTCAGATAAGTCTTGGAGTATGTATATTATTTTGCTTAACCATTTAAAAAAAATAAATACCAATTTCAAAGTTTTTTTTTTTAACTGTCTTTGATACATTTTTCAGAAAACATTTAAAAGTGCCAAGGAGAAAGACCAGGTGCCCTCAGACACAGTGGTCAAACCAGAATGCAAAGAAACTGGAGTCCTCTCTTCCAAGCCTGCTCCTGTAGCAGCACATGAGAACAGTACAATAACCACCAGTGATTCCACTACCAGCAATTCTGAAGAGAATGTTAAAGTACCTAAACAAAATTGCACTAGCAATTTACAAACACCTGCTTCTCGTACTAGTATTGCTGAACTTCGTCTGAAGAAAAAGGATGCTCGCAAAATTGGCCTTGTGGATAGGCTTCAAGAAAAAATTGCACTCTGGGTTGCTCGATCGGATCAAGATATTACTAAAGTTACTTCAAAGGAAAAGAGTGATGACAATTTTCAGCCTGAAGATCCTGAAGGAGATGAAGACACTGAAGATGACAAAGCAAAGGAGACTCATGGATATCCATCATCATCTGGAGACAAGACTGATGATAAGACAGCTAAACAGACTGTGCTCTCTGATGAAAGTTCAAAATCTGAAGTAAACTCGATTAAAATAGATATAACAGCCGCTGCCAAACCTGTGAATGAGTTTTTGCAATCATTCAACCTAACCAATCAGCCAAAAGTGATCCTTAAGAAACTTATACTACCAAAACCTAAAGCAGAAGCCAACTCAAACTTACCGGATGATGGGACAGTCATTAAGACTGAGAATGTGTCTGATGAAGAAGTAGATCAAAATTCACAAAATCATTTTAGTCAGCTTAACAAAAATGTGAAGAAAGTTATTGTTTCTGAGTTGAAATTGATAAGAGATGAAGAAAATTCCAAAGATGAGACAGAGTTACCAAATCCCACAACTCAAGAGAAAAAGTTAAAATCCCAGACTACAGAGTGTGTTACTTCTACCACAAATACTGCCCCAAGTTCTGTTCATGTCAAGAAACTTTCTAATCTGTCAACTAACAAAGTAATTGCTGAAGCATTATCAGATCATGCAAAGTCCGGAACTTTGGATAAAGCACAGAATAATTCTGATGTTCCAGCTGTGCCTACTACCCAATCATCAGTTCTGGATGCTACTTCATGTAAAGAAGAACCAGAATCTGATCCTGAGTCAAAAATAGGAACAAATACAGCAACTCCTGATAAAAATCCAGGGGAAAATTCTAATATTGCTCAAATTACTGTAACCAAAAGTGAGGAAGTGAAGCCCAAAAGAAAATCCACCACTCAACGTAAAACTGCTAGAAAAACTATAGTGGTTTCCAACCCAGCTGCTAATCCATCTGTGAAAAAGACTGCTTCTTCTAAGAAATCTAAGCTTGCTTCAACAAAGTCATTTTCCAGCTTAAAAGCTGCCATCTCTGATTCTGACGAATCTTCCGTCCTTACGGTTGCAGATAATGAAAACAGCTCTCAGTTAAACAATGATACTGACAATCAACTAAGTGCATTGAAGTCTTTGCTATCAAAAAATGTAACTGTTTGTTTAGAGAACCCTGCCAAGAATGACATCCAGCAGGTTGTACTAAATACTGATAAAGTGAAAACACTCTGTGAAAACAGTGTTACACCTCATGTGGTTTCACTGAGTTTACCAAATTCCAAAGTAAGGACTTTTGCAGTTAGTGTATGACTCTCTTTTTCTTTCTCTTCATAATTACATGTATTTTTTGTTTCCATTATTATTCCAGGCCAAAACCATAGTAATTCAGTCGGGAAGTACTAAGAGGCTACAAGAAAGTCCTCCTAAAATCATAACTAGTTTTAGTGCAACTACACCTGCACAGCGCCTAGCACATGGTGCCACAAGTATCCTAAAAGTGGTGAAAGCTACCTCTCCTGGGGAAATAAAATCTATAAATGTTAGTGGTGACAGTGAACAGGTACCAAAAAATATTAAAATATTCTGCCTCTTTTCTCTAAAATAATATTGATTTCAATTTTTTTAATGTATTATTTTCTTTTAGGTTTTAAAACAACCAGCACGTCGCACATATGTAGTACAAGGAAATATTGCCATTTCAAAGCCCCAGAACTCAAGCCCATCTCCTGTAAAGTCGACATTTGTAACAGTTTCTCAGTCTCCAACAGGTGTACCTTTCGTGCGTAGAATTTTACCCAGAGCCATACCGCTAGCACCACCTCTCTCAACCCCTGTCAGTGGAGCAGGAGCCGGCTCCATCCTGGCCTCCAATAAAACAGACTCTTCCTCCACACCTGAGAATGTTGCTAAACTCACTCAAAGAATTAGTGTGAGATCTTTACCAACTTTAGTGACATCTTCACCCACTCCAGCGTTATCATCAAAAGCTGTCACACCTCTTGAACAGTCAAACCTAACACCAGAAGACAGAAGTATTCTGAAGAAATCTCCTCAAATTACAGTGGGTGCCCCTAAGGAGTCCAAAATAGAGATCCCTGCCAAATCTTCATCTAACTTGAGAGAAATGCCGCCATTATCAATAGCATCAGTCTGCAGTTTACAACCTCCTTCTGTACAAGCCATCTCTGGGTCTAGTGCACAAACTCAAACATCAAGTTCCAGAAATAATTCCAAAGTCTTTGCAGGTGTTGGTCCACTCTCTAGTGAACTGCAGTCTCAGGCCAGCAAGGTATTACATGCCATAGAATATAAAATGTTGGGTTTCTGCAGTTAATTTTAGTATTTCATAGATTTCTTGTTTTTATTTTCTTAGATGACAGATGTTTTTATGAGCTGTCTTAAAGACTGTTTGAGTGATATGGGAAATAAGGGGAGTCTTGAAGCTCAAATCCGTTGTCTTCAATTAGATATAGAACACATGCAGTGGCAACACCAACAAGAAATAGAGGAACTTCGCCATAATACTGGTTTGTATGCGTGACAGTATTTGCTTGTCATACACTGACAAGTCTTAGTGCTACAGTTTATACAAAAATGTTGTTCCTTTTTTCAGAGCTAGTTATATCTGAGGTGAAAGATCGAATGAAAGTGGAGTCTCAACTAGCAGTTAACACTGCATTAGCAAATGCTCGTAAGGAAAAGGATGCTGCTATAGAAGCTACCAAGGAAAAACAGTGGTGTGCCTTTTGTAAGAAAGAAGCTATGTTTTATTGCTGCTGGAATACATCATATTGTGACTACCGCTGTCAGGTTTGTCATTTCTTAACCTTTACTCTGTCAATTATTAATTGATTTTTCATCATAACAAATAAATATCTATTATTACAGCAAAATCACTGGCCCTCCCACAGTCTTACATGCACTCAGAATGCTTCATCAGTGGATGCTGAACGTCAGTCCAGCCTTGAAAATGGACAGGTACTAGTATTTTCTTTTATTGATTTTTTAACTCATATCTTACTTCTTAAAATAAATACATTAACTAAAGATTCACAAAGAGTGAAAATTATAAGAGGTCATTAGACAACTTATCTTCTGTTAGACAAATCTTACCTTCTTGGAGTAGCACAAAATAATATTTATTTTACACTTGCTGCTACTTTGTCTCGATCAGTCTGGAAGGAGAATTGTCATCAGGCGTAAGGAGGTGCTTTCACCTCCTCTCTTGAAGAAGGTATTACGTGTTTCCTACATGTTTGCCTGTATTTGTGTTGCTTTTGCATTTGAACTAAAGTTTGAAAACAGCTTGCTGGGTGCTCTATTTATTTTTATGATTCATCCAATTATAGTTTATTTAGTTGTGTATGTTGTGACTAGAGAGAAAAAAGACATTTTATCAAAAATATAATATTTTATTCTAATTTTTTCTTTTAATTTCAGTGCTGATGAATGAAGAGGGCGTTTTCATATGAAGACATGCAAAGAAAATGAAAACAGGTGTTTTGGCTCATTTTGATATACGGTATAATGTCAATGTCTACCTTAGTTTTCATGACTAGCTCTTTAAATCTAAAACTGAAAATGTATTCAGTTCCATGATTGATGTCATCCTGTATTTTAGTAAATATTCTTTTCTGTGATAATATTGTTATTATGCTCAATCAATTGTAATACCATATGAAGTAACATGTAACATGTATTTTATTG